ATTTGAAAATAAAAAGAAATGAAGTACTGATACATGCTGCAACATGGACAAATTATGCTAAGTAAAAAAAGCCAGTAATGAATTGTGATTCCATTTATATGAAATGTCCAGAATAGATATGCAAATCCATAGAGGCAGAAAGTACAATAGTGGTTGCTTAGGACTGGGAAAATTGGGAGGAAATGGGGCGTGAATGTTAATAGATATGGGTTTCTTTTCAGAGTAATAATATCTAAAATTAGACAGTGATGATGTCTGCACAATTCTATGACTAATAGCCATTGAACCATGTACTGTAAAGTGTAAACTGTGTGGTATGTCAATTATATCTCAATAAAGCTGCGACAAAAAAAATTTCAGCCTTACCTAATACTCTAAATTTAATTGAAATACATGTAATTCTTCACTGCACATTTTACAGCCTCTCTACATTAATGTTATTTCAAACTGCCAGAAGAAACCAAGGCTGAACTTCCCTGAACTTCCCCAAACTTCCCCAAATTTATGAAAAATTCTAGACTTGTCTTACCATTTTCTTCAATCTTACTTCCTAAGGCTCCTTCCCTCAAAAGGTAATAAATTTCCAATTAAATTATTATTTTTTAAATCTAGGGCATACATTTACTACTTTTGCGTTTTCATTTTCATTTATTTTTTTATCCTTACCTGAGGACATTTTTCATCACTTTTTAAATTTTTTTAACAAATTATTTCTTTTTAAAAAATATTTTATTTACTTAGAGGGGAAGTGAGGGAGAAAGAGATGAGAGAAACACAGATGTGAGAGAGAAATATCAATTGGTTGCCTCTTGCACAAGCCCCAACCGGGGGTTAGGCCATCAACCCAGGCATGTACCCTAATGGGAAATTGAACTGGTGACCTTTCGCTTTGCTGCAGGATGCCCAACCAACTGAGCCACACAGGCCAGGGCTTTATTGCTTTTATAAAGAGAGAGGGAGGGAGAGGGAAAGGAGGAGAGGGGAGGGGAGGGAGAGAGAGAGAGAGAGAAACAGGGATGTGAAAGAGAAACATCGATTGACTGCCTCCAGTACACACCCTGACCAGAAATCGAATGCACAACCTTTCAGTGTACCAGAAGATAATCCAACCAATTAAGCCACACTGAAAAGGGTATTTTTTTAAAAACCCAACAGCCCTGGCCATGCATCAAAACACTGCAGGTTCAGTCCCTGGCTGGAGGGTATATGGAAGGCAACCAATTGATGCTTCTCTCTCTCCCTCACTTCCTCTCTCTCTAAAATTGTAAACATATGCTTCGGTGAAGATTTTTTTTTAATGCAACAAAACTACCATAATAGATATTAAGAGAGATATCCTTAAGGATATATCATCATAAATAATAAGAAAGGAGAAATAACGACAAATCACAATAGAATTTCCAACTAAAGAAATTATTATAGTCAAAAGCCTAAATCATATAAATATGTTTTAAGCTTAAAACAAATGTATGTTAATCATCAGAGAGATGCAAATTAAAACTACAATGAGGCGCACCTCACACCTGCTAGAATGGCTGCTACTATCAATAAACCAATAAAACAGCAAGTACTGGCAAGGATGTCTGGAAAGGGAACCCTAGTGCATTTCTGGTGGGAATGCAGACTGGTATAGTCATTACGGAAAACAGCATAGTTTTCTCAAAAAAATTAAAAAATGGAACTGCCTTTTGACCATCTGACCCAGTGATCCCACTTCTGGGAATATATCCTAAGAATCCTGAAACATCAATCAGAAAGAATATATGCATCCTATGTTCATAGTAGCGTCATTTATAATAGCCAAGATCTGGAAACAGCACAACTGACCATCAATAGATGAGTGAACAAAAAAGATGTGGTACATTTACAAAATGGAACTATATGTGGCTATAAAAAGGAAGGAACTCTAAACCTCTGTGACAGCATGTATGGACCTGGAGATTATTATACTAAAATAAATAAGCCAGTCAGGGAAAGATAAATACCATATGATCTCACTTATACGTGGAATCTAATGAACAAAATAAACTGACAAAAATAGGACCAGAGGCATGGATACATGGTACAGACTGACAGATTTCTGATGGGAGGAATGAGGACTGGAAGAGATTAGCCAAAGAACATATACTCATAATCCATGGACACAGACAAGACTGTGGTGAAGGTGAAGGAGGGTTTTGTGAACTCAGGGGGGCAAAACGGGGATAAAATGGGGAACGCCTGAGTCAACCATAAAAAAAATCACTGATAAGGTGGATCAAATGGTATTCCACTATTCTTTTAATCTGCATTTTTGTTTACTAGTGAGCTAAAAAAAGTTTTTGTATATTTTTGCTTTAAAATAAAAACAACAAACCCAGCCCTGGTCCGTGTGGCTAAGATAGTTGGAGCATCATCCCATAACTAAAAGGTTGTGGGTCTTTGATTTCCAGTCAGGACTCATACCTAAGTTGTGGGTTGCATCCCTGGCCTGGGCACAAACGATTTCAGGTCCAGGTGCTTACAGGAGGCAATCGATTCATGCTTCGCTCTCACATCAATCTCTCTGTCTCTCCCTCCCTCCTTCCCTCCCTCCCTCCTTCCCTCTCTCTCTCCCTTCCATTCTCTCTAAAATTAACAAATGTATCCTTGGGCAATGATTAAAAATATAATAAAAAAATAAAAATAGTTTTATAATACAAAATCCTGAATGTCTTAAGATCCCCATTAACACTTATGAAGTTCTTCTTTTCCCTTGCCCAGTATATATTCAATGTCTTTTCTTAGTTTCAATGTGTCCATAGAGAGTTCCTCATCTTTACCTTATTTTATTAAAGCTCTCAAAAAGTACTTCATAAGTACAAAACATTATATACTGTTTTAATTTTTCTAATAGTTCAGTTCTATAAAGGGGCTATTTACAATAATTCAAAAGAAAAAAACGTTAAGTACTACTTAATTTGTACAACAGGAAATATTTCATAAACAACATTTTCAAATTATTTTACTGAACAAAACGTATTGAATATTATAAAGTATAAGGTCTATTAACTACACAATTAAAATACTAACTACTGACACTTTGGTTCCTCCTTAATTTAGAAATCTCTAATACTTTAAAATTGATCATACTGATTTTATTTCCTAGTGGTAAATTGTATAAATAGTTAATGGTCTTTCAAGCTTTTTCAAGTAGAAGTAAACAAGAAGTATATTTTCCATTTCCAGAGTAACAATGACTTACCAGGACTGCTGGGACTGAATCATAGCTCTGATTTACACATTATATAATTTAATCCTTACAATAATCCTATAAGGTGAGTATTATCAGCTTCATTTTGTAGACGAGAAAATTGAGGCTTAAAGGGGGTAAGAAACTTGTCCAGGGTTATATAGGTTATCAGAAAAGACTGAAATCCGTATCTGAAAGGCTGTAAAATATAGCTCTAATCCACAGCAGTCTGTAAGGAAAAGTCTGTCTGGTTATTTTTTTTTTAAAGATTTTATTTATTTACTTTTAGAGAGAGGACAAGGGAGGGAGAAAAAGAAGGAAAGAAACATCAATCAGTTGCCTCTTGTATGCACCCCTACCAGGGAATGAACCCACAACCCAGGCATGTGCCTTGACTGAGATTTGAACCAGGGACCTTCTGCTTTGCAGGACAACACCCAACAAACTGACCCACACTGGTCAGGTCAGAAAAGTCTGTTTTAAAGATTCTTCATTCTTAAATAATATGTTTAATAATTAATATCATTTTTTGAAAACTAAGTATATGAATTATTTCTATTCAGTAACTGCAGCTTTCATTGATTATTATATACTAAAATGTGGCTCTATAACAAGTGAGATACATACAAGCAAAATGAAAGATCATGTAAAACTCAGAAAATGAATAATTTGTAATAAGTATACCCTATACACAAAGAATAGCTAGTTTTTAGCTAAAAATGAAATGGAAAATATGTGTAATAAGATCAAAATTGTTTTCTATCAAAAATTTTAAATAATTCCAAAAGGAGACTCAGTCTTTAAAAAAAAAATGAAAACTACCAAGTTTTAAGTCACACAAATTTCAATGCCTGCCTTTTGTTTTTTCCAAAAGGAAGAATGGGAGTGAGTAGTTACGGAGCACCTTCTATGTGACAAACAATGAGCTAATTGCTTGATTACTTTTATCTCATGGAACCTGTTCTACTTCCCAGTGGGAGGTGCTATTACTCCAGTAATACGTAAGAAGAGCACTTAAGCTCTAAATGTCACATTGCTCTAAGAGCTGTAGAATTCCTGCCCACATCTGACTCCATACTCTGCACCGCAGCATACAATTAACAACCGTAAAATACACACCACACCACACACGCGCGCGCGCGCACACACACACACACACTCATCATCCCTTTAGAAACATAAGAATTTAAGTTAAAATCCAAGCAATTACTGTTTCTTTCGAAAAAGCTTTGTGCCTTTGCAACTAATCTCTGTCTAGCACTTAACAAGTACCAAATAAAAGTTTACTGAGTGAAATGAACAGTGGTAACTTAGCAACAGAGGAGGAAATGGGCTCATCTTCACTCATTCTGTCTTTCTAAAGGCATTAATATAAAACTGTCACTTACCAGGCAACCTATACAATTACGTCCTTAAAGAATAAAACACTGAATCAGGAATTGGAAGAGGAAGAAAAGATCATGTATAAAAATTACTGATATTCTTAAAGGCAAGCTAGTGAATTAAACATAGAAGCCTTAAAGAGAGATTTAGCATGTTTCACTCAATTATGAAACTTGTCTGACCCTGCCTCTTAACAGTTAACTAAGTATGTCCTGCTTCCACAATTACCTAGTTGCTAGCAGAGACCCTGGTCATTATTGTGTTTCCCAGAACACTGAAGAAAGTACCTGGAACTTAAAATTAATAGCTAAAATTATATAAATATCTCTAATAGATTACAAAATTTTTCATATATATCTACCCTAGAAGTTTTGCAAGATAAGTATAACTCTGCATCTTACAGACAATGACATTGAGGTCCAAGGAGATTAAGTACCAAGGTAAGAGGCCAGGCATCTTTCTATAACACAGCTACCACTAAAGGCTCTCAAATGTTTGTTGATTGAATCAGATGTCCTTCAAAATATAAATTTTCTAAGATTTAAACACCATCATCTATTGCTATGAGAAATTAGTATACTGCCACTTAATAATGAGTGAAGGCTTTGCTAGAAAACAGACACTGTACTTTCATTCAGCTTGCCAAGGTCAGTTAACTCTAAACTTGTTATATCAGTGATTCTCAAACTTTGGTAGGACTAAGAATAGGTAAGCTTGTTAAGAATGAAGATCCTTGGGGCACCATCATCCCTAGAAATTCTGATTCATGGGGCCAAGATCTGCATATTTTAATAAGCACCCTCGGCTTATTCTAATGTTGGTAGTCTTTAGGGACACACTGAGAAAAACTGGATTGGACTGCTTAAAACCTAAGTTAATCTACCAAAAAATTTTTAATCAAGTCAGTTTTTTATAATCATAAATATTTAAGCAAAATCTTACAAAAACAATAGAAGGCTACTGCATGTAACAGGATAGATAGGTCCTCAAAAACATTTACTACACCAAATCTCCCTAGACCTCAGAAGCTTCTCATGCTGCACAGGTTGTTAAGTCAGGGGTCTTTTAGGTAGTTACCCATGTTATTTTGTTTTAATTGACATATTCAACTATGATTGCAATGAAATTTAGTAAAACACTTTTATAGGTCTTAAAATAACTGAATGTTAAACAGTAAAATGGGTAGTCAGTTAACTTTGAACCTGATATGTAGAAATAATAATTTAAAAATCACCAACAGTATAAGCCCATTTTAAACTTTAAATGACTGTAAAAATGTACCTTGAGATTACAGGTGACCTTCCCCCCGTTATTAAATATTTATGGAGATTCTGTACTTTCCAAGTTTTCTACAATAAACGTATTTGTTTATAAAAGTTTAGAAGTACTTATCAATCCTACAACCTTAACTTACATAACAGGAAAACAAAAATAACTTGTAACCTCATTTATCATAAACCAAAAATACCTATAAACCTGACTCAGGTATCAAAGGATAATCACTAACCACTAACTTTTCTATTACATTTATACCAGAACAAACCATTTAACTTCTAAAATTTAGACTATGTCCCATTTCCATCGGGTATCTGTTATTAGGATAGTTAGCACGACTTAAAATCCTCTCGTCATCCATTCTATGTATCTATTTAGGTAGAGTATTTTTGTACCGAGAACTGAGCCATTAAAATACATTTATAGGCGGAGAAAAGGAAAGAGACCGCTGTAAAAATATATATATATTAATAATTGTGAGTACTCATCTGAAACATCGCAAAGCTGGGATGGAGCTTTCTCAAAAGGCAGACCACGCTTAGAGGCAAATGTAATAGAAGAAGGCAGGACTGAGCTACCGGCAGGTGATGAAATTTCACCTCAAATAAGACGCAAAAGGTTCTTTTCAACCCAGCAGATCCGTGAATCGCACTCCGAGGGTACCAGCGGCTTTCGCGGCCCATCACTTTCAGCTCTCCAATTCCCACCCTGCTCTGCCGCCCTTCCCCCAGGGACGCTGCAGGACTCGGTGTGGGGCACGGAAAAGCCAAGGCTGTTTGCAGACAAGCGTCCTCTGCATCCCTCGGGGATGAACGTGCAGGGCCGGGGTAAGAGGCTGCGCTCCGCCCGGGGCCAATCCGAAGGGCGCCAGTGGCCCCGCCAGCCCCCCGCTCCACACCCCGGGCGGCGCCGGAACCGAGGCCGGGGCAAGGGCTTCTCGGCGGCGCGGGGCCTAGTCGCCCCCCACGAGCCTCCAAGCCTCCCGTGGGACACGGGAAGAAGGGCTGAGGCCCCAGAGCCGCGGGGTGGGGGAGGCTGCGGCAGCGGCTGGACTCCCCGTCCGCCCGGCTAAAGAGCTGCCGCCAGGGCCCTCCCCTGAGGCCGAAGGCCAGCGAGCACGGGACCGCGCCGCGTCACACTCACCTCGAGCGGCAGCCGCCGTTGCCTCAGCATGGCCCGTGGGGGTCGTCCCTGAACTGCCAGCCTCCTCCGGAGGGCACCGACGAAGCCCCAGGCGCCGCCGCGAAGCCTCCCACTCCTGAAGGGGCTGTGGTTATCGCTGCTGCTGAGGCCCAGCACCCTCCGAGCCGCATCGAGCTCCTGGGCCGCCGCAGCCAAGCGGATCCCGAAGGAGCTCCGCCGAGCCGGGCCGGGCGCGCACGGCTGCGGCGGGACGACCGAGGTGCCGCAGGCGGGGATCCTCAGCGAAGCCTCCAGCGTCGCCTTGGCCGCTCCGGCCGCCGGCGTCGCTGGGCCACAGCGCCCCCTAGACCCCACGCCAGGCTACGGCGCGAGGACTGCGGCGGCCGCCCAGGCACGAGCCGCAGGGAACGCCAGGGAGCGCGGTGTGGGGAAGGCGGGGGCGGCGCACTCCCAGCGCTGCCCTCGGCCTACCGTCCGCCCTAGACGACGCCTCCTTGGAGGCCCCTAGGTCCGCACGGACATTGGCTCCCACCCACCTACCCCTAGTACTCAGACCCCGCTCACCTTTGCACCTTTTCCTTCACTTCAGGAAGTACAAGAACCTTCCTGTCACTCGGACCCACACAGGAGAGTAGGAGTGTGAGGGAATCTCTTCGTTTTTCTATCGTGATCTCGTGAAGGGATCCCTTCAAATTCCTTCAGTGTGTCTGGGTGTAAGAAGAGTAACCCAGGACCAACCGTTTTACACACACACACACACACACAAAATTCTCACCCAAAATAGATGAAGATATCGCCTTTGACCTTAGCTTTTTGGGGATCTACTGTGCAGATCATTACAGAAATTTCCTACTGTTACCAACTCTTAACTCCTAACCGCCCCCCCCCATAGAAAAAACATACATTTCGAGCAAGACAAGAGAATAGCCAACGGGTTTTCCTGAAATTCATAAACGATTTAAAGGTAAGAAAAGAACCACCCATCTTTTCTAACTAAATCCCTCCCTTGCCCTGACCTCTAATCTACTCTTCCATGCCCCCACCTCTGCCAAATCCCAGGTAAAGCTCTGGAGGAAGGAAATTGTTTTATAGTGGGGCTGTAGAATCATTCTGTTTACAAATACCCCGTATTCATCCCACTCAAACTCTAGGTGCAAATATCAGAACCAAAAGCAAAAGAAACAAAAAGACTGTCAAAGGGGAAGTAGGGTAAAGAAATTCTCCAAATCTTCTTGTCCCGAATTTTTCAAATACATTATTTTATAATAGAGTAGTATGGTAAAATTAGCAGGAATTTTGGTGGAATTCAGAGCCTGAATTCCAGCTCTGTCATGTTTAGCATTATGAACCTAGGCAAGTTAAATATTTCTGAACCTCAGTTTTCTAATGCCTACCTTGCTAGTTGTTGTGAAGACTGGAAATAATTTGCATAAGCTAGAAACTGGCCTGATAGAAGGTACTCAAACATTAGTTCCAATTCTTCTTGGTTCCAAGACACCCTCATAGTCTTTCCTAGAATCAAGATTGTTCCCACTTGCTTTTGTTCTTTCTCTCTTAATCTCTGTATGTGTGTGTGTGTAAATGTGTTCCTGTCAAAAGATAGGGGCATTAGCCCATCAGTAAATGAATGGATCAAAAAACTATGGTACATTTACACAATGGACTACTAAGCAGCAGAAAGAGAGAAAGAGCTATTATCCTTCACCACAGGATGGATGGAACTGGAGAGCATTATGCTAAGCGAAATAAGCCAGGTGGTGAAAGACAAATACCATATGATCTCACCTATCAGTGGAACCTAATCAACAAAACAAATAAGCAAGAAAAATATAACCAGCAACATTGAAAGAAAAAAACAAACCAACAGTAACCAGAGGGAGGAGAGGGGTGGGTAAAAGGAAAAAGAAGGGGAAGGGTCAAGTCAACGAACATGTATAAAGGACCCATGGACTAAGCCAAAGTGGGGAAGGAGTGGGGGGGGGGGATGGGTGCATTATTCTTCATCATCCTTGGTCTGGCTAAAATTTTCCTAAATTTCATTAATGGACTAATATAACATCCCTCCACTAAAGAGTAATAGAGTTTAATACACTGGATCCTATGACATTCTGCTATATACATACCAGGTGTCAGCATAGAATCTGTACATTTTTCGTTTTTAAAAAATTTATAAGGCAGTCTCACCTTACCTTGCATTATGTCCTAATAATAAGTCTTTTTTTAAAAGATTTTATTTATTTTTAGAGACAGGGGAAAGGAGGGAGCGAAACATCAATGTGTGAGAGAAACATTGATCAGTTGTCCCTAGTTTGCCCCCAACCCAGGCATGGGCCCCCACCAAGAATCGAACCGGAGATCTTTCAGTTCGCAGGACAATGCTTAACCCACTGAGCCACACCAGTCAGAGCAATAATAGCAAATCTTAATGAGAAAATTATATAGTGTCACCAGGAACTTTCAAATAATAGAGAAGCCATATTAGAGATAATATAACCTTCCAATCAATGAAAGCTCTCCCTGTACAATCCTAAGTGTACCTGCTCCACCTACTTCTGAGTCACATTACAAAAAAAAAAAAAAATCACTATTACCTTTTGTACCCAGAGAAACTGGTAGTTGGAAGGAAACTATGACTCAGGCTCACAACAACTCTATGAATTAAGTACTATACTACTACCATTTTACAAATGAAATGCATCCAGCCTAAGGAAAAGCTGAAAGTAAACCCTGAGATTCCTTTGGTCTCCCATTGGATGCCCTAACAGTCCTTTCTGCAATATTTAGAAAATGCTGTAAGATGCTAAATCTTTTGTTGTTTTAGTAAATTTGTTGCTAAAAATTTTCAATCTAGAGTAGTGGGTCCTTTAACTTAGATCAATTTGACAACCTAATGTTACCACTGTGCTTTTCAAGCCTAGTTCAACTACCACCAGGAAATCTGAATTTATTTAGGAATAATCATGAGATCCAGGGTGTAGCTAAGGCATGAGGATGATTCATTTGTTCCCAGGACCAGTTTCCTCTTGTTTCACAGTTTCTCCCCTTCTATTTACATTGTTTCTTAAAAAGGCTGCCTTTATCATCATTACCTCCTCACCAATCATTCCATCATTTTGATTCTTTGTACCCAGTTTGCTCTCTGCTCCTGAAATGTCTCTCATCTGTTTTCCTCCTCTACTGTAAATCTCTTTTTGATTTTAACCTACCTTGACCTACTGTCAGTTGATTTGTTTATCCTACTCTCAATTTTACATTGATTTCCACTACTATCCATCCGGTGACTCTAAAATATCAATATTTCCAATCTAGAAGACCGCCCCACTTTCATTTTTATACCATATACATTCATCCTATAGAAAACTAGTATTCTAAGAATGGCTTCTTCAAGTGAATTTAAGCTGTAGCACCCCAAACAAAATTTTCTTTGCTCTTTAAAATTTGTCCTTTAAAATTCAGGCCTTTTGATGATTAAAACTGGAAGAAAAAAAATCAGGCCAAAAAGATATCCATATCCTGCCTTGGTAAATGGCACAGGAGTCATACTTAACTCTTGTGTCTATATGTCCTGGAAAATTGGTCAATAAGCCTGATAAATTCCACTTCTTGCTTTTATTGAATTTCTCCCCAACTTCACTGCCACCCCTCTTGGTCTAAACTATATGCTCAACAAATTACAGGTGCACTGAATGAAAAGAAGGAGGGAAAAGCGGGAGAAAGAACTAAACTGTGGCTTAGCCTGATGTGCATCAGGCCAGTGCATCCCACCCACTTAGGAGCTTTTTTAGGCCTTTCCTGTTAACTTTCAGGTCCTAATAAAGAATAAGACTCCCCATCAACAGGTGATTGCCCTGCAGCCTAGAGCTGACCCCAGCCTGCTACTGCCAGCTGTGGTCTCCCACACTCCTCTACAATCACCAGCCATAGCCAAAAGTCAAACCCAGAATTCACAATCTGTTACTAAAAAAGTAAGTCCTGGAGCAGGCTAGAAGTCAGTAAAGCAGCACAAACTTAAAAGGAAATTGGGGATACTTGGAAGCTTATTAGCTCATTTGAGTCATTTAAAAAAGAACAAAGCAATTCCCATTTTTGGAATTTACCATAAGGAAGTAATCAAATATGTGAACGAAGATATATACAAAATGTTTTTTATTTATATTACTGTGGGCTTATAACATAAAAATATAAGAAAAACCTTAAATAAATTAAATTAATTATAGTATCTCCACATGAGAAACATTGTGCATCCATTACCAATGGTCTTTTTAAAAAATTTTAAATGACATTGAAAACTGCTCAGGATTCAATATCAAATTAAGAAAAAAAAATTCAAGTAAAAGTCTATTGTATGATCCCAATTATCTTTTTATATATGCATTTTAAAATATAATATTTAGAAGGAAATAGTGCAAACTGTATGTTTGCAGGATTTTTTTGACTTTTTATTTTGAAATAATTTCAGATTTAAAGAAAAGTTGCAAAAAATACTACAAAAAAATCCTATACACAGAGGTGGGCAAAAGTAGGTTTACTGTGCCATTGTGACATTCTTTTGAGTTAATAGAGATATTGTAATATTCATAACCTGCATGTCTTTTTCCATATGAACAACTATAAACCTAGTTTTGCCCATCCCTGTATCTGTCACCCATGCCTAACCACATTTGCTTTATTATTCTCTTTCTTGTGCATGCATGTGCTCTCATTCCTGCTTTTTCTCTCTGGAGACATAGATATATAAAGGGACTGTTGTAATTATTTTCTGATCTATTTATCCCTAAATATTTTTAGTCTGTTTCCTCAAAAGAAAGAGTGCATATATCACAGTACAATTATTGAAGGAAGTCAAAACTTAATATAGCTATAGAACTGTGATTTAATTCATGATCTTTTTCAAATTTTGCCAATTGACCCACTAATATTCTTTATAGAAAAAGAAAAATTTTTTTTTCTGGCCCAGAATCCAGTGCAGGATCACACATTATAAGTAGTTGTCAAATCTCTTTAATTTTTTTTTTTAATTTGGAACAGTTTCTCAGTCTTTGTCTTTCATGACCTCGACATTTTTAAAGAATATAGGCCATTTTGTAAAATATCCCCCAATTTGAGTTTGGCTGATGTTTCTTCACTACGAGATTCAGGTTATGCATTTCTGACAGAATACTTCAAAACTGATGTTGTCTCCTTCTAAATGCATCATATCAGGATGCATTTGATACCAGTATATCCCATCAGTGGTAATAGCAACTTTGTTCAGTTAATTAATTAAGGCAACATTTGCCAGGTTTATTTAGTGTAAAGTAACTATTTTGTTCTTTATAATTAATAAATATTTTGGGGGAGATTATTTGAGACTACCCGCATTCATTGATAATTCTTGCTTGAAACAATTGTTACTATAATGGTTACCAAATGTTAATTTTATAATTCCATTATTATCATTCCTTATAAGTGTTTTTTGTTTTCCTAGTGTATGGGGGAGCTTT